CTCAGGGCACGCAGCAGCCCTGGGGACAGCTGGGAACGGGCAGGGCTCCGGGAGCAAACCCTGCACCCATGGGTGCCCGCGGCTCGGGGCACCACTGACCTTTGGTGAGCACCTTCAGGCTGATCTTGCCGTGGCCCCGGTGCCGGTCCGGGGGGTTCAGCACGTAGCAGTTGTAGGTGCCCTCGTCCTCCAGCTGCACATTTTTGAGGGTGAAGGACACGTCGTTCTTGGCGGGGTTGCCGGTGAACTCCACGCGGTTCCCGAAGCGGTCCAGCTGCTTGTTCATGATCTTGGTGCGGAACTGCAGGAACTGGGCGGCCGTGGGGACAGCAGGTCAGGCAGCCTGTGGCACCCCACGGGCTCATTTCCCAGCCAGGCACCCCCTCCCTGCACCCCGAGCTGGTCCCAGGACCCCAGCAGATCCCCAGCGAGACTCACCAGCTCCTCCGAGCAGTTACTGCACTCCTGGTACGTCCAGTTGAGGGAAAACTGCTTGTTCTCCACCTTGTAGCAGGAGTTGAAGGTGCAGGAGAGCTTCACAGAGGAGCCATTCAAGGCGTTGATGATGGGAGGGGCCATGACCTCCATGCCCAGCCTCGGGGGTGCTGCCGAATGGATTTAGGGGTGTCACAGGCAGCCACCCTGGCTGCTGAGCCCGTGTCCCCACGCTGCCCTGCCTGCACAGAGCTCTCCTGGGCCCTTCCAGGCACATCCACACACTCTGCATCCATCCAGGACCGGAATTTCCCTGCCCAGCAGGAACAAGGGGAGCATCCCTGGGCTGGCCAGGGAGAGCATGGTCCCTGCCCTGCCAGGGCTGGTGGCCCTCCTGTGCCCTGCTGGTGCCGAATGCTCTGCCTGCAGGCCATCCCCGAGGCCGTGCTGCTGCAGATCGATGGTGCTGTGCGGGGCCTGGTGCCACAGCCGTGCACAAATGATGGCTGAGCTCATCGCATTGCACTGCCAGCAGGGCACAGCGAGCGCTGGCATCTGCCAGGGCTGCCCCGGGGCTCCGGGGGAATGCAGATGCTTTGCCCTGCCAGCAGTGCCTACGCAAGGATTCTCCAGCTGGGAATGACCAGATTGCTCTGGTGGTGGTTCAGGTCTCTGCTGGGGGAACAAGGCCAGCCCCTGACCCCTGGCCTTGCTGAGAAAGAGGGGCAGCACCTGGCAGCTTGCAGGGCAGGACTCACCTGGGGAGGGGGCAGGGATGGGGTGTCTGTGCCCTGCTCCCTCCTCCATCCTTCCCTGCAGCTCCCCTCAGCAGCTCCCAAACCCCTGGGCAAGGGGAACAGGCTCCTGTGCAGCCCAGCTGGCTGCAAACACCAGGCCAGGCCTTGAGAAGCACAGGGACATGGGGACAGTGAGCCCTGGGAGGGACCAGAGTGTCCTGGGGGCCGTGACAGCCTGCAGGGCAGGCACAGGGACACTGCCAACAGGTGCTTTTAGGATCACCTCACCTCTCCCCTTGGGCTGCTGCTCTTTGCTCTCAAACCTTCTTCCCGAGGCCAAGCTGGGTGCATGTCAGGGCTGCTCCGCTGGCCGCTGCGCTCCGCCTGCAAGCAGGGCAGGAAAGGGGCCAGGCTCTGCAGCCAGGGACAGGAGCCTTTTCCGAGCTGCAGGCGCAGCTCCCATGGGTGCTGAGCCCCAGCTCCCACTGCGAGCTGTGAACCGGCAGCACCCTGGAGCTGCCTGGGGGCAGAGCGGTGCCCTCGGGTATGGCCAAGCCCTGGGAACGCTCCTGGCTGTGCTGGCAGCCATGGGGAGCATCCCCCATCCAGCCCCAGCGCAGGGAGGGCTCCCACAGGGATTGGGGACACAGGGACGGGCACAGCTGGTGCATGGGGACAGCACCAAGGCAGGAAGAAGTGTCCTGAGCCAGTGTCGCAGCCTTGCTGCCCCGTGGCAGCCACCACCTTTAATGCCTCCAAGAAAACCTCGCAGGGGTGGGAGAGAAGAGCCAGGAGCTGGCCTGTGCCAGCAAGGATGGTTGGAGGGGATCCCTGCATGGAATCATTGCCTGAGTGCCCCTCACGTGGTGCCCTGTGTGCCTGCAGGTGGGTGGCCTGGCCTTGGGCCATGTCCTCAGGGCTCCCCGGGGCTCTACAGAGGGATGAGGTGCCACCAGCAGCAAGCCTGTCACTCCAAGCAGGGGCACCACGGCCTGGCAGCATCTAGGAGCACCCAAGTGGGTCCAAACTTTGCCCCTGGCTGGGCACTCAGCCCTGGGGGACAACAGGGGTGGGGGAAGAAACCCCCAAAACCCCAGGGACCGTCCAGGCCGTGTCCTGCGGCGCTGCGCAGGCTCCTGACGCTCCGTCATGCTGCACCCGGGCTGGGGGGACAAGGACAGCCGCCTCTACAGCAGCCCTGAGCAGGTGTTGTGCCCTCCTTTCCCAGGATCTCCCCCGGCAGGAGCTCCGGGGCAGCGCCCCAGAGGAGCGGCGCGATCCCGGCCGCGATCGATGGATGCGGCCGCGGAGCTGCTGACACAGCGCGGCTGCTGCGGCAGCACGGAGCATGGCACGGGGACAGCCACAGCCCGGGGACAGCCACAGCACCCCAGAGACAGCCACGGCACCCCAGAGACAGCCACGGCACCCCAGAGACAGCCACAGCGCCCCAGAGACAGCCACAGCGCCCCAGAGACAGCCACAGCACCCCAGAGACAGCCACAGGGCAGCACAGCACCCCTGGCAGCACCCCAAAGGAGAGGCACAGGGCAGCACCCCAAAGGCAGCCCCACGGCAGCACCCCAAAGGCCAGCCCCAGGGCAGCACCCCAAAGGCCAGCTCCAGGGCAGCACCCCAAAAACAGCCCCATGGCAGCACCCCAAAGGCCAGCCCCAGGGCAGCACCCCAAAGACAGCCCCACGGCAGCACAGCCCACCCGGCAGCGCAGCACCTCCCCAGCCCTGTCCCCACGGCAGCCCGCTGCTCTGCCCGGCGTGCCAAGGGCTCTGTGCCCCGCACCCGGCATTCGGGGCGTTTTTAGGAGGAGATGCAGCGGCAGCATACCCCCACCCTGCCCGAAAGCAGGTCACCCCGGCTGGTGGCTCTGGGCAGGGCGCACGCCAGACCACCTCCGTCCCCATCCCTGCGGCACAGCCCTTCCCGGGGTGGCACACCACACGGGCGGGGGCTCCTGGCCAGGGACACGGGTGTCCCCCCAGCTGGGCACATGCAGGGGGGCTGAAGCCGACACTTACCCAGCGAGAGGAGCAAGGTGAGGCCGGTGAGGAACAAGGTGGGCTGCGGGAGCCAGGCTTCCGGGCTCATTGTGACGGACTTTTGTGTGTGGAGAGGACGTGGTGTTGGTGTGGATTATGGAGGTGGTGGAGGTGCTTTTTCGACCACCCGGGTTATTTGCAGGTGACATAGAACATTAGAGCCGCTTTCTCCCCACAGCCCAATATGGCTGGAGCGGTGCTGGGGCGAAAAAAGCAGTAAATGCTGTGGTTGGTGGATTGCAGCCGCCGGAGTGGGAGGGCGGAAAAATTTTCCCCTGAACTGCAGGCAACAGCTCCTGGCAGTGCCAGCTCCCCGCTCCGTGGCACACGGGGGGTTCCTGACCCCCCGGCTGCAGTGGGGACATGCAGGGGTGTCCCCTGTGCCCCGCTGCAGGGTGGCGGCCAGCCCTGCTCACACCATCCGCGGCAGCAGCTCCTGTTCTGGAGAGCCCAGCGGGGCCCAGGAGGGTTGGCAGTGCCCTTCTGGAGCCGGGCAGGGAGCAGAGGGGCTGCTGCAGGCTGGCAGCAGCACAGGGCCCGAGCAGCCCAGCCGGGATGCCCCAGGTGGGCTGGAGCAGGTAAAGGTGCTCCCGGTCACCTGCCCGCTCCGGGACAGCTCCATCACTTCCCAGGGCTGCCAAAGTGCTGCGGGCTCCTTCCCCTTCTCCAGCAGCGCCTTGGCCCGGGGGAACTCTCCTTGTCCCGGCTCCCCTCTCCCAGCCCGGCACCAACGGGGCTGGAGAAAGTCTCTGGTGCCCTTTGGGCCCTGGGCTCCGCTCCTGGGCTCCAGCTGCAGAGATGGGGCAGGAAAGGCAAGGAGGGACCTCCAGGAGCCCAGCGAGGCGGTGACAGCGCTGCCCAGGCCCTGGGACACGGCGTGGTGGCCTTTGCTGGGACAGCATCCCCGGGCACAGAGGCGAGGGATGCCCAGAGCCAGGGCAGCCCGTGGGTCCGGGGCAGCAGAGCCGGGGCAGGCAGGAGGGATGCAGGGGAGGGATGCAGGGGAGGGATGCAGGGGAGGGATGCCGAGGGGCTCTGCTGCCTGCCCACAGCCAGGAGGAGAAGCAGGACACCGGGAGAGAAGGCACGGCAGTGTCCCAGCAGCTCTGCTCAGCAAACACTGCACGCACAGCACTTTGCCACAGGTCCTGGGCAGGCAAAGCCCGCTCTGCTCTGCTGCTACGCCTGCCACGACCCTACAAAGGCCCTGTGCGATCCCCCGGCCCCCCACATCCAGCTCCGGGGGCCGGTTCCTGCTAAACCCCGTCCCGCGGCTGCCTGAGCGAAAAGAGAGCCGGGTGTCAACGAGAACCAAGGAGCGCAGCGCGGCGCTGCAGTGTGCCGGCAGCGCTGGGAGGTGGAGGGTCCCGGCTCCCTCCGCACCTGGAGGTGTCAAACATCTATAGATAGCGCCCGGCACCAGAGATAGCGCCCGGCACCCGGAGACACAGCGGGAGCAGCGCCAGCGCCCGCCCCGCCGCTGCCCCGGGGCCCGGGAGGGGTGGCCGGGCTCCCAGCGCTGCCCACCCATGGCCAGGGGACACACGTGGGGACCCGCGGGCTCTGTCCTGCTCCCCTCGGTCCCCATCCTGCTGCCCAGAGACCCCTTCCCCCCCCACACCCTTTTTTTTTGCCCCCTTTGGCACCCCTTTGGGTGCCCCGTGCCAGGCTGCACACGGGTTCAGGGGCTCCCAGGCCCTGGGCAAGGCAGATTTTGGCACACTTGGACGTCACATGCTTAGGCTGGAGGTAAAATGAAGACAGCATCAGGGAAGACTCCCTGAGATTTATTATCTACAGAAAAATACTGTGACGGCTCCCGCTGCGTCTCCCCCCTCGGAGATCCTCATCCTGGGCCAGGACCAAAGCTGGAGCGTGAGGCTGTGCCCACTCTCTCGAGTCCAGGGGGCAAGAGCCAGAGGGATGGGCGTCCCCTGGTGCCCTGCAGACAGCTGGGGTGCCAGCAGTGCCCTGGCACGGGGCACACAGCGACGTGTCAGCAGTTCTCAGTGCTCACAGGGACGCAGGTGTCGGACACACCTGGGCGAGGGGCTGCCATCCCACAGCACTGCTATTTCTGCTGCTCTGGAGGCTGGGGAAGTGCCTCCTCTGGCCTGCTGGGGGGCTCCTGGCTCTGTCCGTGCCCCCGTGTCCCCTCTGCCATCCATTCCGACGGGATGGACCTCTTGGCCAGCTCCACGTAGACGCCGTTGTCCCGGCAGTGGGACGGGCGCTGCAGGGAGCAAGGGACAAGGTGTGAGCCTCACCAGGGGTACCAGGGTGTGTTTGGAGGGGGCAGGGGGCACGGGATGCTGGGGTCTGGCACAGGGAGTGAGGCCCTGCATGCCCTGGCCCTGGCAGTGATGTGGGGGCCCCAGCAGGGCTCTGCAGCTCCTCACCATGGTTATGTAGGTGTCCTCAGCTCTCCTCTTCTTCTTTGCTTCCTGCTCAGCCTTGGCTACCTCATCTCCAGGGACTGAGGAGTAAATTGCTTCCTGCGGGGGGCAGATCAGGCTGTTTGGGACTGAGCATTCCCCAAACACACAGGGGCTGCCCGAGCCCAGTCCCAGGGCGAGCTGTGAGAGCCACGGCTGGAGCTGGCCAGCAATGGGCCCCTGGTGCCTGGGCAGTGCGGGATTCCCCCGGCCTCCGCAGCCCTGAACCCACACACCATCCCCAGTGACCCCTCCAGCCTCAGCTCTCACCTCTGCTTTGCTCTTGCTGCTGCTCTTCCCCGTCCTCTCCAGGGCTGTGAGGGCTGCAAACCTTGAGGGGAGGCAGCAGCAGCAGTGTCACCTCCGGGAGAGCGTCACCCGCTCCTCCCGTCCCTCCCTCTCCCGGGACACCGACATCCCTTTGCACAGCCTGGGCCAGGCTATCCGTGCTGCTGGCACAGCCCAGGAGGTTTGGGAGCCGAGGGGATGTGCAGGGGCACGGTGGCACTAGATGGCACAGCCCAGGAGGTTTGGAAGCCAAGGGAATGTGCAGGGGCACGGTGGCACTAGATGGCACAGCTCAGGAGGTTCGGGAGCCAAGGGGACAAGGTGGTTTGGGAGCCAAGGGGATGAGCAGGGGCACGGTGGCACTAGATGGCAGCAGGAGGGTGGCACCCCACACCTGGGCCGCCGAACCCTCACACCTACGAGCAGCAGGGCCAAGCCTGGCCAGGGAGAGCAGCGCGGGAGGGCTGCAGGGAGGAGCTCCCCCATCCCCTAAACCCAGAGCAGCGTTTTGGTACCTCTTCCTCACGCACAGCCCGGCCAGGAACGCCACCACCACGGCCACGCAGCCACATCCCACCGCGGCCGGCCAGAAGCCGGAGTCCCTCAGGGGCGCGGCATCCTCGGTACCTGCGGGGGGACACCGAGACACGGGTGGCACCGCGGGGACCCCCCGAGCCGTGGGGCAGCCCCGGGGGCGGCGGGCGGGGGGCATCGCGCACCTTTGGGTGCCGCGGGGCTGACGAGCAGCACCGTGCGGCTCTTGAAGACGCTGCCGGTCTCCAGCAGCCGCAGCTCGCACTCGTAGGTGCCGCTGTCGTTGAGGCGCAGGTCCTGCAGCAGGATGGAGCCGTCCCAGCGCGACACGTTCCCCCGCCACTGCACCCGGTTCTTGAAGCGGCCCGCGGGGACGCCGTGGCTGCTGTAGTAAAAAAACACCATCTCCTCCTGCCAGGCAGGTGAGGGGTGTTGTTACGGTGAGCTCCTGGACACCCTTTTGTCCCCCCTTTCCCCGGGCCTCTGTGGTTCTGATCATGATAACCCCTGGATCCGCCTCCTTGCCCCAATGGGGTTGGCAGGGAGCCAGGAGAGCCCACCCTGTCCAAAACCTATATAGACCCCTGAAACTTCCTGCTCTTTCTCTTTTGCCCCGCTCTCCATGGACACCACAGAATAAAGAGAGCTGTTCCAACACCCTGGGTAAGAGCCTCTTTTGAATACTTTTCCCTCTCCTGGTATTCCTCCCCTCACAGCCCCATATCTCTGAGCTGGTTGGATCCTAGAGGGGGCTGCGTGGAGGGGGGGAAACCATAGAAATTACAGGGTGTCAGGTGCCCGTCCCTCCTCGGGAGCTCTCAGTTCTCACCTTCTCCCTGAGCCCTGGAAAATCCCGGGATGCAGCGCCCAGAGCGGAGCTCCCCTGGTGCTGCGGGTCCTGCCCCCTCTCAGGGACCCTTCTTCCTCTCATGGAAACTTCCTCTCCCCATGGCCTGGTGACATGGATGGGCTTCCATCCTCCCCAGGCTCACACAGATCCTCCCCACGCCCTCCCTCCCCTGCCACCAGCCCCGTGCCCCCCTCCTGCCAGCCCTGTCCCGACCCACCTGCGTGCCAGCTCCTGCCTTGAGCAGCCAGTCCACCTTGTGCAGGGTCCATCCCTTGCTGTCGGGGTCTAGGAAGAGGCAGGGCAGCAGCACGGAGCCCCCAGCCCTAGCTCGGACCTGGGGCTCCGTGAACACCCCGGCAGCCCCTCGGCACCGCCCTGCCGGGGACAAGGACAGCAGGATCAGCCCTGGGATGACGGCCAGTGGCAGCCTGCCTGTCCCCATCGCCATCTCCTCTCCAGGGAAGCCTGGGGCTGGTGGCCCTGAGCAGCGCCGAGGCCGAGCCCGTGCCTGGCCCCTGCTCGTGGCGTGGCCGGGATGTGGGGCAGCACATCCTCCCCGCACGGCGAGGGCTCTGCCGTGGGATCCGGCCAAGGGAAGCACAACCCCTGCCCTCCACGCCTCGGAGCCAGAGGCTGCAGCTCCTGCAGGGCTGGGCTGTGAGTCAGTGCCCGGGAGAACCTGCGCTGCTCATCTCTGCCAGGCCAGGGGCAATCCCAGCGCTTCACACCAATTTCAGTTCCTCCCTCGCTGCCCATTTGGCTTCCTTCCCCTTTGCTCACAGGCTCCAGACCTGGGCTGGTGCTTGTCTGCCCACGTAACCACAGCTTGGGGTTTCTAGAGAAGCTGGACAGTGGGGGAAAAAGCAAAGCAGGGGAAGATCAAAGAGCACAGCGCTGAGAACCCGCAGGAGGCAGCTGCCGGCTGGCTGGGCTGCAGAGCGTGCGGCAGGAAGGGGATTGAAGGTCTTCTCTGAAATGAGTGGGACAGAAAATGTCACGGGAGCTCCTCAACCCCACCTGCCTCAGCCTGCAGCAGCCCTGCAAGGGGAGGCTGAGGCTCTGGGGCTGTTTGCTGAGGGCTGGCTGAGCTGATTCAGCTCGGGGAGCTGCTCAGACAGGCAGGCTCATCCTCGTGGCTGAGCCACCGCGCTCAGCCTGTCCACAGCACCCAGGGCTGGGCCCTGGCCAAGAACCAAGTGTTTGTCTGAAGCCCTGTAAATAATGGATGCAAAGTGCTGCAGCTTCCCAAACAAGTTCTGTTGGTCTTGACCAGCCGATGAGCTGAAAATGACAAATATTTGCCAGCGGAGAAGACCAGGGGAGCTGCCTGCCTCGAGCAGAGCCAAAATCAATACCTTGGAAACCTCTCCCTGTATTTAGACTCGGTGAAGCAGTTCTGCTTCTTTCAAAGCCTTGGAGCCTCAGTACAGGACACATCCAGGGATGGCAGTGCAGCTCACAGCCTGGTTATGGGGAGGGCTGCAGGAGGGGGAGATGCAGCAGGGCCAGAGGAGGGACTGGCACCCAGGACAGGAGCAGCTCCACAGGGTTCTCTCTCACCACAGGAGGAGACACACTGAGGGGGCTTAGAGCAAAGGCAGAGGGGAATAAAACTTAGAGCTTACCCAGCCATGTCAGCACCAGGGTCAGGCTCAGCAGCACCTTCATCTCCCTCTGAAAAGAACAGCACAGGTGACACACGCCTCAGTGTCCCCTGGGGCAGGAGTGGCAGCCAGCTCAAGGTCAGAGGAAGGCTCTGGTGTGCAGCCTCTGAGGTTGGGAGGCTGGAAGTCAGCGCAGCACAGAGGGCAGAGACAGCTCTGTGAGACTGCTGAGCCTGGAAAGGAAGAGTCTGCGTAGGGGACAGGGCTCAGCCCCTTCATATTTTCCCCCAAGTTTCTTTCCGGTGGTTTGGGGGTCGAGCTTCTGACATCTAAGCTGAGATGTTCACGGGTGCTGACTCTGTTCATCAGAGAAGTCTGGTGCTAGAACAGAGCCCCCACTGCAGATCCAGATCCCTGCCCCTGGGTGCTGCTGGAGCAGCGCCACATCTGATCCCCGGATTCAGCTCCACCTGCTCCACCTCTCTCAGAATAAAGCTGACATCTCCTCTCTGCACACCGTGGCTTTATCCTGCAGCCCGGGGAAGGACTGGCTGTCCCCAGCAGGAACGTGCCAGCCAGTGTCCAGAGGAAGGCAGGGTCAGCGCCCTGCTGCCTGTCCCTGTGTGCAATTCCAGCTGTGAACCTTCATTTTGGGGTAAGTAGCTACTGAGAGAGCTCCTCTGCCTGGTGAACCCTCACGTGAAGCTGGAATTGAGGCTGCCATTGCCAGCAGGTATTTTCCAATACTGCAGAAATGAAATAGAAAGACAAGAGCTGAATCATCTCTGACATTTTGGTGGCTTCTCTCGTTTTGCTCCACTGTGCAAATGAGAGGCTCTCCAGGCCAGCCTCAGACAGGGATTCCAGACCCAGAATCACCTGCTGGGGACCCTTGGATCAGTTCTAGGCTGAGAAAATCACTACAGCTTTGAACCCTCATCACCCTGCCCTTTCCACAAACAAAAAATCCTGAGAAGTGGCAGCAAACCTTCTGGAATCCTCGACCATCTGCCTCTCCAAACACAGGACCCCTCTGGGGCTGGGTTTTTGCGTGGTTTGCCGTGCTCTGCTGTGACACACTTGGCTGCACAGCGACCTACAAACAGCTCCTGCTCAGCCCCAGGGCAGCAGGCACGGCTTGGGGCACGGCACCCCCTTTCCCAGAGACGCTGCCAAAACCTGCAGAGCTGCACCCTCCCAGGACCACCCCCCTGCAGCAGCCAGAACTGCAGCCAGCTCAAAACCCAGCCCTGTCTGACTGCAGGAAGCTGAGATTTCTGTACCCACAACCTCCAAAAGCTCCTGGGGCTCTGGGCCTTATTTGCCAGCAGGTCCTTGCTGGGTTTATCGCCCTGGTTTCGAGAAGGGTTTCTGGTCCTGCCTGGGAACACGTTTTTGCAGGGTCTCCCCCTGGGACACGCAGCAGGGAGGAGGTGCTGGGAGGCACAGCTGGAGCCAGCACCCACTCACCAGGCTGTTCATTCAGCGTGTGCCAGGGCTGACACATCCAAACAGAGACCAGGGAAAGGGGCACAGACACCACACGGCCTTCACCTTCCCCTGCTCTGGCACACAGCATCCGAGTCACCAGCACCTCTGCTCCCCTCTCTTGGCAGAAAAACAAATTTAAAAACTATCCAGAAATAAGTATCCAGCAAAAATGACTCACCTAGAGTGGCCTGGACCAGCCAGCTAGCCTTGCACGTCCTTCAGCGACTGGCAGTTGCTAAATCATCTCGAGGTTGCGTATCTCCAGGTTGGGTCTGACGGTCACTTTCACAGACAAGAGAAAGCAGAACAAAAAATCAGGATGTGCAACAGAGAGGGGAAACCAGCTCAGAGCCTCTGCCCCAGAGGGGTGATGGGGCAGCCCAGGAGGCGCCTGGCACGGAGAGCTGGGGCTCAGGCTGGCATCAGGGACTGGCCTGACTGCTCACGATGACCAGTCCAGGACACAGAGGTCCCTGACCCACACCCTGGGCTCCCTCCTGCTTTGTTCTGGGGACCAGAGCTGCTCAGAGAGCTGTCACTGCTGCACCCTGGTCCTGTCCCAGTGAGGAAACAGCACGGGGTGACGTGGCTGTGCCTTCCTCCTGGGGCTGCCAGGGTCCTGAACCTGCCTGGCACAGTGTGGGCAGCTGCCTGACACACACCACACGCTGATTTTCCTCTGCTGCAACCCCCCTGGCCACTTTGAAAGTGCATTTTCACCCTTCCTCTTTCCTTGATGTGCCAGAGGAGCTCCTGTTCCCCATTCCAATATCCCAGTGTCCCCCATTCCAGTATCCCAGTGTCCCCCATTCCAGTATCCCCTCTCTCCATTCCTGTATTCCAATATTCCTCATTTCAGTATCCCCTCTCTCCATTCCTGCATCCCACTGCTCTCCATTCCAGTATCCCCTCTCCCCATTCCAGTATCAGTGGCTTCGATGGCACACCGTTGCAATAAAGCAGACAGGACTCAGTTTTTTCCATGCAGAAAAGCCCCTTCTTTATTCACAAAACTCACTTTTCACAGACCTCGTGCTCAGTAGTTTCTTTGCTACTCAATTCATTGCTTAGCAAATGGCATTTTACCTTTCCATCTAATCTCTCCATTCTTAGATTGTTTACATGTTTCACTGATTCTCATAGGACAAATTTCTTGTTATTAAACACTCAGCCTGTTTTCCTCACTAGAATAGATTATGTTAACTGATGATAACTTACAAGCTGGCTTCACTGAGAAGGAGTATCAGGCCAGCTGGTAATTCAGCAGAAAGGCCTGATTTTCTAAGGCCTTTCTTTTATAATATCTCTACTTGTGCGCATCACCACACCAAGAAATTCCCATCTGGGTGGCAGGGGAAGAGAAAGCTCAGCACCAATCGCAGCTCCAAGGTGGCAGCTCAGCTTTGCACCAGGAATGTTTGCCCAGGAGTATTGTAAGTGCAGGTGAACCCAATGGGCAGAAATGATGATGTCTGACTCTATTCAGAAAGATTAATAATTTCTTTATTATAACTATGATAAAATACATTAATATACTATATAAAAGGAGGATACTGAAACTCCATACTACTTTCTCTCACTCTAACACAACTGGTGCCCCTCTCTGAGAGCCCAGCCCCAGGTAGGTTGGGTTGGCCACCAGCTCAAACAATCCTCATCAGAATCCAACCATCAACCACCCCAGGTAAACAATTCTCCACACACATTCCACATGGGAAAAAACAAGGAGCAGAAATAGAAATTGTTTTCTCTTTCATTTCTCTCTGTGCACCTCTATGAAAAATCCTGTGAGGGAGAGAAATGTGCTTGGCACACAACAGGAGGCAGAGCTGAAATGCAGCATTTTGCAGCAAAAAAGAGCCTTTGGTTCCCCAGGGGAAGTGGGGAGTGCTGGGAGGGGACAGCAAAGCCACTTCCCCGGGCTGTGCATCCCAGCACTGGCCTTTCCCAGGGAAGTTTTGCCTGACAGAGATGTTGTGTCACCAGGGAACATAAATACTTGAAATGTGCTTTATAGTAGACAGGAGAAAAATGTGTTTATCTGGAGGCACAGATCTACAGCTGACCTACTTCTCAGTGAGAGCTTCACCACACCTGAAAGCTGCTGCTAGCAGAGATGCTAAAGGGGGCCTGGTGCTTGTCCTCTTTTGGGTTAAATCTGCTCCCTAAAAACCTTTACTCATCATCAAATGACAATTTTTACACCTCAGCCTGGCAGTTTCATGAGTTCAGCTGTATTTAGCCAAATAAAGAGACTCACAGCCCAGAGTGGAATAATGCAATTTATTGGTAATTGCATGGCAAAATCAGCAGTAAACCTGGAGCACATCTGTAAAAGGAGAATAGTTGATGGATACAGAAGGACAGCAGCTTTTTAGGGGTTGAGTGAATGAATTCCACTGCTCTCTGCCATTCCTTGTTGGGTAAAGCTGGTGAAAGAGGAAATGCCCTTCATCGAGGGGAAGTAATGCTGCACAATGAACCATTTCCCTAAAACAGGTCCTAGAAGAAGGGAGGAAGAAAACAACTACTGCAAACAGAACATTCCTTTGGGCAGAGCTTGAGTCCATGGCTGAGGTAGATGGGGTTGTGTGTCCCCAGAAACAGAGTCCCCATTTGCATTTCTGATTTCAAAAAAAGAAAAAAAAAAATTGTTTTCTGTGAATTGTGCTTCACTTCTACAAGTAGAAGGAGCATTACCCAGTGATGCAGCTGAATAAAAAAATACTTCAAAAGCAGTAGGTTCTCTTCACTCCACCACAGAGGATGCCAGATATCACTTCATCAAACTGGTGTGAGTCAGTATGCTCCAGAAAACCTGAGAATAAACCTTGTCAGTGCCCAGAGAGCTGGAGCAGCTTTTACTTCAAAAAGTTGGATTTCCAGGGCTCAGCAAAAGAGGGATGTCACAAAAAAAAAACAATGAACCAAAGCAATTTGAGGGAAAACCGAGGCACATTGGCACTGTAGGCCCGAGGCTTCTGTAGGCCCGAGGCTTCTGTAGGCCCTGCAGATCTGAGGGCAAGAGATTTTCTTTTCCCCAATAAATTGGAAAGATTTTTAGAAAATCATTGTTTTGTGCTTAAATAGAAGTGAGTTATCCCATCAGCATTATTCTTCCAATCCACGGAGAGCAGAGCATGTCCTTCAATCTGCACTGGTTATCCAGCAGCCTCGGGAAGGATCCATCCGTGATTTTCAGTGCTGTAATTTCAGCCTTTTTCCACAGCTTCAGTCAGTAGGGATCTTCCTCATCCGTGTCCTAAACAGGGAACATGGAGAGAAACTGAGATTTTGTGTGAAGAAATTAACCAAGCCATGAGCAAGAGCCTGGCAAGAGTCTAAATGCTTCCCAAAAATGCTGCTGGGCTTGAACAGGCCAGGGGAGTTGCAAAAAAACCCACTGATATGAGTGCTAATATATGAGTGCAAATATAGGACTTGATTGGAATCAAAGCTGTCATTTTAAGATGGCAGTGCAAATATAAGTGCAAATATAAGTGCAAATATAAGTGCAAATATATAATTACAAACAAGTACAAGTATATATAATAAATATAAGTACAAGCACTAGAAGTTTGACTTCTCCCAGACACAACAAATGTGTTTTGAGAGGAGCAGCAGCTGAAGATGAGGCAGCCAGCGCAGCACAGCCCTGCAGAGCCAGCCCTGAGCAGCACGAATTGTTGGTTTTCAAGCACCCACTTTCAGAAGCCCCCGGAGCTGTAACCACAGCAGCTCTTTGATGATGTCCCACACGCAGCTCTGCAGCTCTGAGCTCACCCAAACCCCTCAGCTCTGCACAGCAATCCTCACTGACACCCAGACACTTCAGTCCAAAGAGATTTCCCATCAGCTTTGCAATTTTAATGGGTTGGTCACTTATGAAGCACGAAAAAGCACATTAGAGAAACCTCAGAAATGCAGAATTGTTAAAGTGAGAGGGACATTCTCAGGGGCCTGATCAGATAAATATTTCAGTATCAGACAGCACAGGATCAAAGCTGACAGAGCACTGGACACAAAAGCAGCAGGATTTTATCATTGCAATTTGACTCCTCCCAAAGGATGAGAGGGCAGTTTTCAACTTTTAAGCTCTGCCATGTCCTGACAGCATTTGCTCCCCAAGCTGGGGTTCCATCCTTCCCAATCTCTCCTGCTGGCACCTCCCTGATTCCCAGAACATCACCTGGAACAGCCCTTCACCTGCCAAGGCAGCTCAGCCTTTGGCACAAGGTGTTTCCTGCTTCCCCCTGCTCCCCAAAACCTCCCCCAGCACCGCAGCTCCGTGCCTAATGCAGAGCTGTAAATAAAATCTGCTGTGTCTAATGCAGAACTGTAAATATTTTATGTACAACTTACGTAATTGCCCGGTTCTCATCCTGTATCTAATAGAAACCACCAGCACACGCCTGTCTGGAGGCTTGGGCAGTTAGGAGGTTTTAAATCACTGGCATTAGGAGAGTGAATCAAGCAACACATATTTAACCCTTCCTTAACTCCTGTCCTGACCCTGTGCAGGAGAGGCAAAGGTGCCCCTGAGGTGAATGTGCTCTGTAGGACAGGGAAAGAATGAAAACCCTCTGAGCTGGGCATTACTCTGGAATGTGCCTGCCCATTCCAGCACAGGACTCCCACAAAACAAGGGCAGCTGGTGGCAAACCACTCGGAGCTGGAGCACCTGCTGAACAGGAGCTGCTGCTGGGCTGGGAGGGGAAGCAGCACAATTAGAGGGCAACCACCACCTCAGAGAGCACCACAAACAAAAAGCAGAAACAAACAAACAAACAAACAAAACCACGAGGGTTTAGCAATGTTCCGCTGTAATGAAAACAAAGTAAAAGGAGGAAGATCTCCAGCACCTCTGCAGAGACACAGGGGGGTCACTGCCAGCCCCAAACTGCTGGTGCAGAGCCCCCAGAAAAACCCCACAGCAGTTGGTGCTTCAACCCTGATTTGTCATCTTGAAATGACAGCTCTGATACCAATCAAGCCCAGTGAAAAATCAGTTTGGTGGATTTCATGACAGCCTCCCCAGCAGTACAGCCAGCAGCTCTCGCTCCCTGCAGCCTTTGGGACACCCAGAGGTGTGGGGACACCCTACCTGCCGCTCTCAGCACCTCCTTTGAGCACCCAAGTTGGCAAAACCGCAGTGAAAACACCAGCTTTCACTTACCACGCAGTTCAGGCAGCACTGCTTGAGCTTGCCCCCGCAGCCAGCTGTGTCTGAGTGCTCTGGCCTGCAGGAAAAGCACAGCATCAGCTTGGACTTTCCCCCCAGACACTCCTCTACCTCCTCTGGACTGTGAATTCTGACTGTGTCACAGGGAACTGAAGGTCTTTCATCCTGAGGAAAACCTTTAGGTCTGCACAGCAAAGCCAAAAGGACTGAAAGCTGCCAGATGCCTCAGTTTGAAGGTGGCCCTTCAGTGCACAAAGATTGAAAGGAAAGTTGCTTTTTGGCTGTTTTTGGCTGGCAAATCTTACACCATCAATCAAATCATTAAAAGACTGCAGTAAAAAAAAATCATTCCACAAGGAGCTGAGCAGAAGGGAGTTCAGTCTCCAAGGCTCCTTCAGCACCTGTCATCCCTGCTCAGGCCACCACAAGTAGCATTACTGGGTTTATTTTGCTGTTATGGGGACCCAAAAATGCAGTACCCAAAGGTCATACATGCAAAACATCCTGCTGACTGAAGCTCAAATAAACCTCATTACAGAAGTGAAAGATGTCTGCCCCCAAACTGCCTCAGTTCCATGGCACTCCTCACACGAATGACAGAGAAAAGGGATGTGCAGCCCTTGGTCTGTGCTCCAGCTCGGGATTTCCCAAACTTTCTGCCTGCTGGGACAGCAGCAGATACCAGTGGCTGCACTGCACTCACTTCATGCTGAAGGACAGCGGGGAAATCCTCCCTGTGCCCGAGCCAACACCCCAAAGTGGAAATACAGGCTCCAGCCTGCAGCCAGCACTTACTCATCAGACACCTCGATGGAGGATTTCTTGTAGCCACATTTGCCTTTCTCCTTCAGCACCTGGAATTTCCTCCTCATCCTCACCAGCAGCAGAATGACCACGAGGGCAGAAGGGAGGAACACCAGGATGGACAGCAGAGCTGCTGAGCTCAGCTGGAAGGCCAGGCCTGAAACACAGCGAGGCACGGCTCGGCTGAGCCCTTGGGACAAACACCAGGGCACGGCTTGGTGGCCCTTCCACGTGAGACACGGGGCTGGCAGACTGGGAACAGCCTGTCCCCACATCTGCGGGGCTCCTGTCCCCAAACCTGCGGTCCCCAGACCTGTGGGGCTCCTGTCCCCAAACCTGCAGAGCTCCTGTCCCCAAACCTGCAGTCCCCAAATCTGTGGGCTCCTGTCCCCAAACCTTTGGGGCTCCTGTCCCCACAGCCAGCCCAGGCTGAGGTGGAGGAAGCTGCAGAGGAGGGCACGGCACAGTTCCACCAGCACGGCTGAGCTGGGAATTTGGGGCAGGGCTGGCACGCAGGGCAGATGAGGAAATTGGTTCTGACAATCAGCACTTGTGATGTGGAGATTGTTTTCAGGCCAGCGTTTCCTCAATGTTTAACTTGTTCTGCCGCAATGAAACTTCTGAACAAAGGGACACTTCTGATTTTTGCTGTCACCACAGCTGCCCTCGTCCCTTCCTGCCCCAAATCAATTCAGCAGTTCTCAAAGGATGGAGCTCAGAGAGCGGGGCTGAGGCAAGCCCTGCTGAAACTCCAGCGTGGAAGTCCAGGGAGCATTTCCCACATGATGCTGGGAATTCCAACATCCCACAAAGCAACTCTGTCCCGAGGTGAGGCCAAACTGAGGGCAGGGAGCCTTACCCCGCTCTGTGACCACCAGCACGGTCTGGGGAATGTTGTGGTAAACATCTGGAGGGTTCTTCACGCTGCAGATGAACGTCCCGTTGTCACTGAGCCTGGGGCTTTGGATAGCGATGGAAGCATCACCATTAGCGACGTTCCCAAGCCAGGATATCCTGTCCTTGAACGTCCCCACTGTGGTGGGGTGTGGGATGGACTGATAATGAAAAACCTGCAAGGAGGGAAAGGCAAGGATTGTGGTAATAAAGCACTCATCCAAGAGAGCAGAGTGAACTGTTCTTCTGCATTGCAAAAATAAAGGAATAATGACATGTTAAAAAGTCAGGAATAATATTTCATATATAAGAGAAATTAAACCACCAACTGAATCTTTAAAATCATTCTGTGCACAGTGCAGCACTTGTGACAACCCCCCAGATTTATCTACTTTATCATTATCACGCTGTTTTGTATTTAGAATATTTTTCCCCCCAGCAAACACCAAAGGAATTTTACAAGGGGAAGAAGGCAACAGTGAGAGCCCCAAACCACAAAGTGAGGCAGCAGCCCAGGAAAGCAAACAGAAAATTCAGATTTTCACCACGCCCAGAGGCCTGGTGCTATTCCACCTACTGTCTCCATCTGGCCCCCAGCGAGGGGCCGGTAGGTCCAGTCCACCAGCAGGCTCTCGGTGATGGGGGAGCTGGACTTGAAGGAGCATTTCAGCAGCACTTGCTCACCCACAAAAGCTCGGACTTTAGCACTGGCTTTAATTTCCAGGGAAAGAGCATTGCAGACACCTGATGGAACGGGCACAAAAGGCAGGGATTCACTTCTGCTACCTGCGAGGTGCAGAATTGTCCCAAAAAATCCCGACACGTGCGCGGGTCAGGCACAATTCAAAGACTGAAGCACAGCAGTGACTCCCTTCCCAGCACTGAATTTGCAGGAAAGCAGAAAACTTCCCTGACCTGTTCTGTGGGACTGGAAGGGGCTCCAAAGGAGCTACCGGGGCAGCAGCACCAGGGATGTTTAGGTGAGGAGAGAAAGGATCAGCTGGGTTACGAACTCCCCGCTGTAGGTACTTAAAGCAATTCTGCTCCGCGTTTCTGGCCACGGCGCCTGAATTTCACAGGCACCGGGTCAGAACCCTCCCCAGAGCACCAAATTCTTTCAGTTCTTGTTTCCAGTGGGCGCAGCCGCTTCTGCCCCGTTCAGCTCCGGCCGTTCCGAGCCTCCCTCCGCCCCGGGACCATCCACCGCTCCGGGCAGGGCTTCGCTGGAGCCTCCCAGAGCTCCGGGACGGTTCTTCCCGAGCTTCCCACCTTCCCCAGAGCACCGGGACCACCCTTCCCGAGCTTCCTACATCCCCAGAGCACCGGGACCACTCATCCCGAGCTTCCCGCATCCCCCAGAGAACGGGGACCACCCTTCCCGAGCTTCCCGCATCCCCCAGAGCACCGGGACCACCCTTCCCGAGCTTCCCGCATCCCCAGAGCACCGGGACCACCCTTCCCGAGCTTCCCGCATCCCCAGAGCACCGGGACCGCCCTTCCCGAGCTTCCCACCTTCCCCAGAGCTCCGGGACCACCCTTCCCGAGCTTCCCCCTGCCCCGGCACCACCCACGGCCGCCGGAGCCGCATCCCGAGCGCTCCCGGCCCCGTTCCCGGGCGGGACCCCGCGGGCACCGCCGCTCCCGTCCCGTCCATCCCATCCCATCCCGGGCCCCGCAGCCCCCCGGTACCGAGCAGCAGCAGAGCCCCCCGCGGGAGGAGGAGGAGGAGGAGGCGCCTCGCCGCCCCTGGGCGCCGCATCCCGGCCGGGCTCAGCCCCGGAACATGGCGCTCACCTGGCGCAGGTGAGGGCGGGGCAGCCCCGAAATGGCCGCGGCGCCTGGGTAGGTCTGGGTACACCTGGGTGGGGACGGCTGGGAACAGCTGGGCACAGCTGGGAAACTCTGGGAACAGCTGGGCACACCTGGATGGGCACACCTGGGAATACCTGGGTAGGTTTGGGTACACCTGGGTGGGAGCACTTGGGCATACCTGGGAACACTTGGGTAGGTCTAGGTACACCTGGGCATACCTGGGAACAGCTGGGCACACCTGGATCGCCCTGGGTACACCTGGGAACAGCTGGGCACATCTGGATAGGCCTGGGTACACCTGGGAACAGCTGGGCACACCTGGATAGGCCTGGGTACACCTGGGAACAGCTGGGCACATCTGGTGGCCCTGCTGGGTCCAGGGTGAGCGAAAGGTCCAGTGCTGCAACCGCGCCTGTCCCCAAATCCCTGAGCCCACCGTCAGCCTGCTCGCTGCATTCTGGTTTTTTTGGGTGCCACAAAATGAGGAATGCGTCAGGATTATATTCTTAAGTCAAGATGCTCCTTGCTGTGAGATCTTTGTAGATTTTCAAGCTCAATGAGCAAAATAAAGGAGATCTAATCAGGGCAACAGACAGCAACTGCATGCCTTAACCAAGGACACCTGGAACTGACAAGTTTTAGGGATGTAATAAATTAAATATTGATGTGTATCTCTGTACATTGCTAACTGGGCAAAACACCAGAGTTGAACTAGAGCTGAACGAGCTTGGTTATGATACCAAAAATCACACCTACAGGTCAAAAAGACCCCAGCCAGGTGAAGAGCCTGCCCCTGAGCAGGGGTAGAAGTTGGGAATGACTATTGGGAATGAATAACCCATTGTAAGAGAGGGGTTGTAGTTGGAGAGTTACTAACTCTGAATTCTGTGCATAAATAATGGTGGTAAAAGTCCAGTGGGGTGTGCTGGATCTGTGGGACACCACCAAGCACCCAGGCTTGGGCTCCTCGATAATCAACATCTCCCTGAAGTATTTAATTATTGGTTTGTCACACACAGGGTAACAAATCTGATTTTGGGGACAAACAGTGCAAATCTGCTCATCTGAGGTGTTGGGGCCCCCAGGTCACGGCCCCCCTCCACACCAGCACAGCTCTCAGTAAGGTGACTTTATTTACAACATAAGAAAGTGAAAATGAAAACAGACAGCCAGGGAATGCTGGCACTTCACAGGTTATAAAGCCATAAAGACACTCTAAAAACAAACAGGGCAATGCTGTGATTTGGGGCTGGGTAAATACTGTAACAGGATTGGTTTGGGGCTGGTGAGACCGTAGAACTCCATGGGTTCCAGTTTTGGGGAACAGAGGGGAGCACTGGGATAGTGAGAGTGGGAATGGAAACAGGGGGGGGCTGCTGAACCCAGGCAGAAAACTCTCCTCAACCCCCAAATTCTCCTGAAGCTGCCAGAGATGGATGTGCAAACCAGCCTGGCTGGCGAATGCCATCCCTAATAACAAACAGCACACCGGCCCAGCTCCAACACTGTCCATCGAACAGAAAAGGGATTCCAAGGATGTTTGTTGTGCCAGCTGAGACCTCACTGCTCAGCCTTCCTTCCCAGGATGCCAGGAGGAGTCTCAGGGAACAAAACCAGGGCAAACGAAACCAAAAAACTCTGTGGTTTCCAAAGTGCAAGAGTTCATCCGCTCAAACACCTCCCAGCCTCCCGTTCAGTCAGTCCTGGCACTTCATCTTCCAGAGAAGCCCTGCTCCCAGGTGAGAGGATGAAGGAAAGTTCTTTGTTCACGGGGCAAGATCCTCCTGCTCTGCTTCACTGAGGGGAATTCACAGCTCATGCAAAGTCACCCTCTTTCCATGCAAGACTTTCAGGTTGAGCAGAGGTTCCACAGCGGCAGCGTGGGGCGTCTGTAATCCAGCTTTGTTCTAACACCCCAAATTACAAGCTCTCACCAGCTGCTTTGGAAGCTCCTGAGAAGAAAGATTGTAAGAAAAACAAACATCCATGACTCAGGGTTATTGTCAAAAACCAAAATAATAGAGGCAACTGCTGACCTCAGGAACTGTGGGTGAGATTTGTGCTGACATGTCTAAGCAAAGACCGTGAATGTGGGAACAGTGCCAGACTTCCTGTTGCAATTTGAAAGCAGTAAAGGTTAAAGTAATCAAAAAGCAGATTCCAAACTGACAAAAGGGAAGTAATTAATTCCTCTTCATATACAAAGTAGTAATGCCATGGAAAGCAGCAACAATGGCTTTCCTACAAGTGCTCCTCAACACCAGGGTGGAGAAATCTCTTGCACGTTTTAGAGGCTGTGATTGTTCAGGGATTGTTCAGCTGTCTCTGAAGGATCCTCAACAGCAAAGTGTGACTGTGGCCTCAGTTCTGACTGTGAATAGCAGGGAAATACCCGAGGGAATGTCTTGGAGAGTCCACAGGAACACTGAGCCATTAGTTAGAGAAGGTTTGGATGGGTACCTGCATTGTGCACACCAGCAAAGACCCTTAATCTTCCAATGGAATGGATTCCTTTTCTTCCCCCACCTTCAGGCTCTCCTTTTCTTTACTGTTGTAAAAATGGGAGGAAAAAAAAGAGAAAAGAAGCCCAAATCAGTGTCAGGATGTCCTGAGCCACACACAGCACACCCAAGGTGACAAGGTGAGTGTGTCACACGTGTAGTGACCACAGCTTGGGGGACAGGGTGGTCATCTGCCCACCACCACCACAGCAGCTGTGTCCTTCTGAGGGAAGAGCCACTGAGAAGAGCAAGAGGCAGATGGGGACTGCAGATCTTGTCCATGCTGGGGCTCTGCTCGCCTGCACGCAGCCAATTATCACTAATTGGGTTGGCAGCTTGCACTGTGGGTGCTCCGTGCAGGGTCCAAGGCAAGAATTCGGAAAGGCCGTGGAGATGAACTCGCCCAGCTGCCCCAGCAGCCTCTCCCCATGCCGTGTGTGCCCTCACCTCTCAGTGTTTGCCGCCTCCAGCCTCCTGTCCCGCGCCTTCCTGCGGCGCTGCCGGCAGATGATCATGGCTGTCACCACGATGATCATCAGCACGGAGGCAGAGCCGATGGCCACGGCCAGGAAATGGATTTCTGAGAAGCTCACTGCATGGGGAGAGACAGGAATGAAGCAGAGGGACACGCAGGAGGAGTGGGGCTGGGATCCTGTATTTGTGAATAAAACCTTTCCTCAAGCACCCCTTTTCCCTCGTGCTTTCTGCTCGCCAGCCCTTTTCTCCCACAATTTTCCCAGATGTGGAAGAAGGGCCACTCTGCTTAAATCCACACAGCCTCGGGGGGGTTTCTTGGCCTCTCACCTTTCTGCACAACCCGGAGTCGCACCTCCCCGATGGTGCCATAGACATCTGGCCAGTTTGTCACCTGGCAGGTGAAGGTCCCGTTGTCGCTGGGCTTCAGGTTCCAGATGATGATGGAAACATCGTTCCGCTCGATGTTCCCATCCCAGGTCACTCGGTCTTTAAACCGTCCCGCGGGGGGCTCGTAGGGCTCCTTCAGGTAGTAAAATACCTACAAAAGTCACAAAAACATCGAATGGTCTGGGATGGAAGGGACCTGGGAGATTCCTGTCAGGTGCAGGATGTCACCTAAGGCAGGGCTCGGCCGTGGTGTTAGCAGACCCAGCTTTGTAAAGCCACAAACATTTTAACCCTGACCACCCAAAACTAAACACGGGAGTGTTTGTTAGGCAGGGTCTATAAACAGGGCTCGGATTAATCACTCCAAGTGACGAAGGCCCAGATGTGACTGTGGGTTTGGGGTGTGTCTGTACCCATGTGGCAAGCACATTTCTGTCCATCTCAGGATTTTTCATAGAGGTGCACAGAGAGAAATGAAAGAGAAAACCATTTCTATTTCTGCTCCTTGTTTTCCCATGTGGAATGTGTTTGGAGAATTGTTTCCCTAGGGTGATGCTTGGTTGGATTCTGGTGAGGATTGTTTGAGCTGGTGGCCAACCCAACCCACCTGGGGCTGGGCTCCCAGAGAGGGTCACAAGTTGTGTTAAGAGTTAGA